GAAGTGCCTCCTCTCCGGGCGTTTGTCGGGGGGCGGCTGCTCCCTGCCCGCCCCCCCCACAGCCCCCCCCACAGCCCCGGTCGGGGGGGCTGTGGGGGGGCCCCCGCTGGTCCTCAGGTGGCCCCGGTAGTGCCTCCTCTGGGCCCTGTCCCAGAGCTGGCGGGGGCTGAGCTCCACCTGGCACCAGGTCTCCCTGTGAGCCTTCAGCCCACACGCAGACATCCCGCTTTTCCTGGTGAGTTCAGCTTTTTACACTAAATAATTCAAAGATGATCCGGTTCCCAAAGCAACAAGAAACAGGAAGAGGCTCCTTCAGTTTCAGAGATCCTTTATTCAACAGATGAGTCACCCGGTGCATTTTTATGTTTTTTTATCTGTTTGCTGCATATCAGAAACTGTCTAAAAATAATAAAAATGGTTCTTTATTGACCCAAAAGAGAGCAAATTCACTTTTTACAGCACCACAGTAACACAATGTAGACAGATAAATAAAAACAACATAAGTACTTGTCGAATAGAATAAAATTACTTTTAAAAAGTTTCATTCTCAGAAATATTTATTTAAAATTTATACTAGACTGTATGTGAAAAATGGGATCCAGATTATTGTCTAGAGAAATATAATATATTCTAATAAATATACATAGTGAAATTAAATCATTAGGTCCATGGCCCATGAAAGGAAATCCCAGGATAAAAAAGAGATAAATAACTTTTTTCCAGTTACTTTTAAGTACAGAGATAAATGGAGATTGCCTGACTTTCTTAGAAAATAAAAAACATTATTTTTCGCTATTTTCTCCCCAAAGCATTAAAACAATACATGAAAAAGTGGTTCAATCCCCTTAAGAAATGACAGAACACATTTAATATCAGCCGGAAAACCACAGTATTAATTTGTTTATTACTTGTTTCTTTAAAGACTGACCTTTATAACCTCAGAAAAGGACTCGGCTTATGAATACTTTGTTCTCAAATGACAGAATTCACTACAAGCTCAGTCTGTTTCAGAATATGTGGCCATGTGAGGCCTATCTGATTGACTGTAAAAGGTTTTAGGTGGACATTTAATGTCAAAACGTCCACTGTAGGCCCACAGATGAAGCCCGTTTGGGTGTGTGTGTTAGAAGGTGAGGGCTGAGGCCTGTTTCTGTCTCACTAGGTCACACACTGATTAGGATTAGAGCAGATAATGGTCTGAGCATATGGACACTTTAACCTCCAAAGACGCACTTACGTTTCCCCTTAAGTGTCAATTTTACATACTAGTATATATAATATATACTATATTCTTTATTTTTGCCAAGACTTGTGTTTGTCTAGTTGTTTTCTTTAATTTTGTGTGATAAATGTTTGTATATTTGTCAGTTTATCCCTGTTCCTGCTAATATTTAGAGACGTGGGAGCTCAGGATCATATAAATGTATATATCTATATATTATATCTATATATTATATATCTATATTTACAATCATATCAAATTATTATAAAATCAATCATTCATCCACAATGCAAACGCACAAAAATGCCAACAGAGACCTTAAACTGAGCTCAGAGGTGTATATTCTAAGGAATATTAGGTTAAATAAATCAACAATAAAAACAGACTTCCGGCTCTTGGGGCGCGTGCGCGGCTCTTACCGTGCGCGTGCGCGGCTCTTACCGTGCGCGTGCCCGGGCCCCATGATGAGGCCACGCTCCGGCTCTCGCGCACGTTGATGCTTAAACGCACATTTCGTGACGTCACTGCTGCTCATCGCCGTATGGCCGTGCCCCCCCCCAGGCGCACGCGCACGCGCACGCGCACGGGCAGCGTGATAATAAGATCCCCGCCATTGGCTGAGCCGCATCGGACGGTGCGCGATAGCAGACGGGCGACGCGCACGCGCGGATCGGACGGCACGCGGGTCCAGGAAGCGGATGCTCGGAGGGGTTTGAGGACCTCGGACGTGGGTTATCCTAACCCCCCCCCCC